AAGCAAGTAATTTGCTCACACTCTCCTCACTCTTCATTACAACCACTACCGAGTGCCCTCCCCCGAAGCACCTTATAACCTGCCAGCCAACCAACAACTTACTATTATGGCCAAGTTAAAATAAACACAAACGCTACTGGAAGAAATAACAACAGCACATAGGTAAACAAAGAATAATAGCTATATGGAAAGGGGGGGGGAGGAAAGGAAGGGGGAATTGTAGAAAAACAGCAAATAAAATATTTTACAAGACAACAAACAAAAACAATGATGTGTGTGTGAGAGTCTGAGTAAATACAGAGCCTGGGATGTAAATCATTTCATAAAATTCAGCTTTAAAGGCCAGCCATGGGAGAACAATGGAATATGTAGATAGAATGCTTATTTGTAAACGTAAAGGGAAATATAAGAAGTGGCGAACCTCAAAAGTTCAAATACCTTGATATTTGGAGATTTTGTTAAACTAAACTCTAAAATATTGAAACATATAACATTTAGATATATGTTAGACAATGACAAAGGTCAGAAGTTTTGCTATCACCCATGTTTGGAAAGAGTCATGGTCATTGCGCGAATATCAGTAGTAGAACACTTCCTGCCGGATCTTCCTTGCATCTGAAGCGTCAATTTAAAATTCGAGTTTGGTTCAAAAATACGCCTAAAACCATTAATACTCCTCAAGTCATATATGGAAACCATTAATATAAGATTATACTTCATTCGGAAAAAAAGTTGTGGTTGAGCATTCAAAATATCGAAAATTAGGAAGTACCGTTATATGGGGCTTATATACAAACGTCAACCGATATATGTGTATCATGTTATTACCCTAGACATAACTCAAACTCATAACCAAAATTTCAAATTCAACAGAGATAATGCTAAATCAGCTTAAAAACCAATCGGCCCAAAGAAAGCAATTTCAATCAAATCGATTGGAAAATATGACCAAAGCTCCTACAATGACTAAAATCTAGGGATATATAAATAAAAATGTGGATTTATATGGACTCTAAGTATCGTTAAAATTCCAAAATTCGGCGACATATTAAAAAGTAACAGTCGGTTTTGCCGACAGAGGTGTACCCTTAGGCAATATTCGATTATATACAGGGTGAGATGTAAAAACTGCAATCAACTTCAGACTCCAGTCATTTTTAACCCACTCGTCCGACAGCTCTTAGAATTATTCCAATGACAGCTCATTATATTGTTTATAAGCGTACAAAAGCATTTCCGTGAGAATTATTCAGAAAAAAAATTATTCGTGATGGAATTCAAGCGGGGTAGTGTGATTTTTAAAAATATTTGGCTGGAAAACCACAAGTGGCTATCGTTAGAGCAATCCAGCATTTAAATGTGAATAAATTTTTTATGTCTCATACCATCGCTCGTTGCCGTGATACTGGTAGCGTCAAGGGAGTGGACGGAAGAAAACAGCAACATCAGCAGAAATGGTTCGAGAAGTAAAGAAGCGACTTGATAACCGTGTCGCAGTGGCCCGAAAAATGGCTCGTGAACTGAACATATCGCAATATTCCAGTCAGCAAATATTGAAAAATGAGCTCGGGGTAAAACCATTGAAGTTCCAAAAAGTGCAAGAACTTACACCGCAACAGAAAGAAAATAGGCTCAAAAAAGCTAGACTTTCTTCGCTTGGCCGAAAGTGGTGAACTTCCGAATTTGGTTTTCTCTGATGAGTAAACATTCGTTGTCCAGCAGGTTGCAAAACAAACAAAATGATCGTGTTTACTTGCCAAAGAGGGCAGCTTAAAATGTGCACCTTCGGTTGGCCACTAGAACCATCGCACTCAGCACGCGCCAACCAAGAATGGTTACAAAATGAGGTTCCTCGCTTCATTTCCAGCGCACACTGGCCACCAAAATCCCGGATACCAATCCGTTGGACTATTGTGTCTGGAGTATTTTGGAAAGCAAGGTTGGCACTAAAAAATACCAAAATGTCGATCACCTCAAGCAAGCACTTCGCCGAAAATGGACCAAAATACCGCGAGCAACATTCGGGCAGCGTGTGATGGTTTCATTGGCCGTTTGAAGCCCATAATTCGTGCCAAATGTGACAAATTCGAACAAATCTAAACTTATTCTAAAATTTGATGCTATTTCCGACATTTTTTTTTTTTTTTTTTTGCTTTTATTCAATAAAATTAAAAAAATGCAAAAATTATGGCGTTCTGTTATATGGCCCATTTTCAATACCACTTCTTCGGACCTAAAATGTATCTCAGCGGCACTAGGGTGATTTCCGACAATCAGTCGTATGCTCATCATGGGTTTTGCACTATTTTTCTCGGTTTCGTTTTTAAAATAATCTTATTCAATCCAGACTTTGGTTTTTGACCGGTGACATTTGGCCTAAATTTACGCTTTCTGTCATGTTGTTGTGGATATTCAAGACAATTTCATAAAAAAGGTAGGGTACATTTTACTCGCTAAGTCCCATTCGATGGTCATACAAATTGCTAGGCTTCAGTGCCTGTCGTATACTCTAACCGCATCCGAAATTTTATGTGGACTTGTTTTGTAGAGCGGCCTCAACCTTTAAAGCGACCTCAAAATCAGGGGCATTTGTTTGATTCATTACAACCAGCAAATATTTTGCGAATAGGCTTCTATTCTGAGCCTAACGCAACCCCCATGCAAGATCAGGTCATAATTGCGACATGTAGAGTAATTACAAATTAACATGGACTGACGCATGGACGGACACACAAACATACGACTCAGCTCGGCTTTATATGCATATCCATATATTACTTCGTCGGTCTAAGACCAATACTTCTCAAATTTTGGCAAATACTCCCAAAAAAAATCTCTTATATACCCAAAAATCCCCACACTTCAAAATACACCCAATCGACATCCCTAATCAACATATTTGGAGGAAGTAACAAAGAATGACTAACTTTCCGGCACATGTGACTCAAAATATTGTTTTGCATACCTCTTACCTGATTTAAACTATTACTACCGAATTTTGATTGTCAAAACCTAAGTGAAATTTCTCAATCTGGTGTTGGGTGGTGCTGACGTTTTTGTGGGGGGTCTAGAATTTTAATGTTTCAATTAGTCACCGCCACAACCAACTTTACCCTACCACCGCAGTGCGGTTAACTAGCACAGATGTTGTGAATTCGGTTTCCTATTGCAGTGACTAATCAGCCGTGTGTTGCTTGTCTGCTACATTGTCTCGTCGTCATCGTCGTCGTATCGAATAGCAGAGCAGAAACCATGCAACACAACACAAATTTGTTGTTTCGCACAGCACCAACAAAGCGCCAAAATCGAAAAACCAAATCAGGGGAAAAAAGAACGCCAGACATTGAGACGGCGTCTGATAGACAGTATCAATGAACTCTGTGGCCACTGAACCACTCTCTCCCTTCAGGTCCTCTTAGCTTGGCTTTCGATTGCAGTGATTAAAGCCAATGTTTTCTATCATCATTGTTATTAAAAGAATATATTTCAATAGTTCTACAACAAAGACAGCGACAACAACAATAACAACAAACATAACAAGTAGCAGACAGGAAATGAAAGAATGATTAAAAAATAATTAATAGCATGGGAGAAAGATGGGGAGGTGGAGCAGAGGATCTAACCATTAAAACTTACTTCAAAGAATGACAGGTAGTTTAATGGAGGTTTGAGTTTGAGAATATTTAAACTAATGGAATGGAAACTAATAAAAACACTAAGAAAAGGTAGATTCAAAATTTTGCCGGTTTTGGAATAGCCTCCCACAACACCGAGGTAACCAAATCGTACCCGGAGGGATGGGACCAGTTTCCCTCTTTAATGGCAATTATTTAAATATTATTTTTATCAATTTGTTTGAGACCCTCATTTTCAGGACACTGTTTTATACCCTCCGTCATAGTATGGAGGGTATATTAAGTTTGTCATTCCGAAATACACATTTTAGACCCCACAAAGTATATATATTCTTGATCAGCATAAAATTCTATGGCGATTTAGGAATGTCCGTCCGTCGATCCGTCTGTGGAAACCATTCTAGCTTTCGAACAAAATAAAGTGAGTTGATAAAATTTTACTCAAATGTATATTACACCTATAGGACTTTTGGTATTTTCAATACCAATGTATGTCGACGTTTTGGTATAGCCTCCATATGGTATCTCCCTATTTTCGGTATTTTGGTGATTTAAGCGACATTATTTACCGGAAATGTTACAGATTTTGTATTTGAAGTTTGTAATGGATACTACAGCCTATGACAGAAAATTGTCTGTGCAGGTCCACGTCTTCGTATAGCCTCCATATAATGGTACCTCCCCATTTTCGGGGACATTATTCACCGGAAATGTTTAAAATTTGGTATTTGAAGTTCGCAATGGATACTACAGCCTAAGACAGGAAATAATGGTACCTCCCTATATTCGGTAATTTGATTATTTTAGCTACATTATTTGCCGATTTTTTTCAAGTTTCGCATTTGAATAATTTAATGGCTTATGACAAAACTTGCCTATGCAGCTCCATGTCGTCATAAAGACCCTAATACATTTGGTATTCTTGAGGTTTTAACAGACTTTTTAACGGATCTTATTTTATTTATTTATTTTATTTTTTTTTTTTTTGAAAATTACCAAATTCGTTCCAAATGGTGGTGGGTTTTGAAAGTTCGGCACGGCCGAACATACAGCTTTTTTACTTGTTATAACTATTTGACATGTATAATTTACTTGGCTCCGCAAGTTACTAATTATCTGTTCCAGAGCTGCAAGAATTTAATTTTTTTCTACGAAAAGCGATTTTCCCTTTATGAATTCGAAAAAAATGCAAAATTTGTAGATTCTTGCAGGCTCTGGAGCAGGCCATAAATCTATGAATATTTTCTTTACATTTTTAATAAAAAAAATATTTTATTTAATTATTGTAAAAAAACCTCTTATACACTACCCACATTTGATAATTAAATTAACTCTAACTGACAATTTCTTTTCATTTTTTAACAGGTCAAAATTTGGAACAAACGAAGGATGCTGAATCAGAAATGAAATTTGGTAAGCATTAACATTTATTATTTCAATTCTTTCCTAATAATCCGTTGTAAATTATTGCAAACATTTTAAGTTTTACCCAAACTCGTAAGTTTTTCCAATGAAAACAGACATATTTATGTGACACATGTGTTGGGTTTCCCCTTTTTTTCGTTGTGACTTTTTGTCGAAGCAAAATGTTCTTTTCATGTTGTTGTTATTTTATGCATACGAAAAGGGAAAATGCATATTGCAAGATAAGAACCAGGTATATTGTTCCCATAAACTCTGTATGTTCCTGCAGCTCCATAAAAATGTTAAAAATATGAAAAAGGTTTCTTTCAAAAAATGGGGACACCTTAAGGACATAAAATGTGTGACAGGTGCTACAGTGAAATGTGTAGAGAGAGAAAGGATAGCTTATAGAGGAAGAAACAAGAATATGGATATTTAAAAAATATTTAGATAGATGCGAAGTATATTTCTTCTGCGTATAAGTAACATTAATTTTATTCGTATTACCAATGTGGCGTATAAGTTATGGAAAGTGATCATACGCAACATATACAAAAAAAATTTGGAGGTATACAGGGTGAGATGAAAAAACTGCAACCAAATTCAGACTGCTGTCATTTCTAGACCTCTCGTCCAACAGCTGTTAGAATTATTCCAGTGACAGCTCATTATATTGTTTACAAGTGCAGAAAAGCATTTTGTTGAGAATTTTCCAGAAAAAAAGTTATTCGTGATGGAATTCAAGCGTGACAATGTGATTTCTTTATGGAAAACTACAAGTGGCTATCGTTAGAGCACTCCAGCATTAAAATGTGAATAAATGTTTGTGTCTCGTAACATCGCTCGTTACCGTGATACTGGTAGCGTAGCCCAACGTCAAGGAAATGGACGGAAGAATACAGCAACATCAGCAGAAATGGTTCGAAAAGTAAAGAAGCGACTTGATCGTGGCCGAAAAATGGCTCGTGAACTGAACATATCGCAATATTCCATTCGGCAAATATTGAAAAAAAAGCTCGGCATAAGGACATTAAAATTCCAAAAAGTGCAAGAACTTACACAGCAACAGAAAGGAAATTGACTCAAAAGAGCTAAAGAGTTGCTTAGCTTGGCCGAAAGGTGTAAAATCGCCGAATTTGCTTTTCTCCGATGAGAAAACATTCGTTGTCCAGCAGTTTTGTCAACTGAAAATGTGCACCTTCGGTTGGCTACCAGAACTCAAGGGCCGGATATGGTGATGGTGTGGGCCGCCACAACAGCCGATGGTCGCTCTCCGTTCGTATTAATCGATCGTGGCATCAGAATAAATTCTGAATATTATCGCGAAAATATTCTGGAGGGTGTATTAAAGCCGTGGGCACGCAAACATTTTGTCCGCAGACCTTGAACATTCCAACAGAAGTCAGCACCATCGCACTCACCAGGCGCCATCCAAGAATGGTTACAAAATGAGGTTCCTCGCATCATTTTCAACGCACAATGGCCACCAAAATCTCCAGATACCTATCCCTTGGACTATTGTGTATGGAGTATTTAGAAAAAGCAGGGTTGGGACTAAAAAATACCAAAGTGTCGTTTTGTATAAATGCATATCGTATATTAAATTCTGACTGTATATTAACCTACCGTCAATATATTTCGACATTATTTTCTATAACTTGGTATTCCAATTTTCTGATGTTCTATATAAACCCAAATTCAATGTAACATGGGGACATAATTTAATATAATAATTTATCTAATAATAATTATATCGATTTTATGTATTCTGGAGGTTGTCATCACACTATCCTGCCAATTTAGCTATGGATCGCTGGCAGAGTGGCTACTTTCCTAGCACTTTTTTTATATTTTTCATGGAAAAGTTAATTTTTTGCTACTCTCATCAATGGTGTTCCTAAAATTGTTAAGCGTTCATGGAAAAACCTTCAATCCATTTTCTTCTTGAGTTATTTTGTATAAGATTGAAACACCTTCACACACACATGAACAGATAAATTTTACCTCTGTTCCACATTACCACACAAGAAAACGAACGTGTTGACCAATAATTACCCTCAGAGGTATATATTATTTACTGTATTTCCTACTATCGTACGTGACCTAAAACATATGAGTGGAATTTTGTTTGTGTGTGTGGTTTCCAAACATTTTCCATTTCTTAAGGAAATACCAAAGAATGTCAAAATTGGCAGCTTCATTTCTGAGCGCCCAAATTGTTATTTTTAGTCTGCCCGTTTCGGTAGTAATTCGTGCCTTACAAGGCCGTAAATTATGGTGTTAAAATGTTACTAGCCGGCATGTAATGCCTTGGAACAGGATTGCTTTTGTGGATACACTAGAAAATAAAAAAATTGCTAGGAATTTTTGATGATATTTTCTGGAGTTGTGTTGGTTCGTAGGATATGTGTGCAATTCTTGAAAATAAGCAATACTTTATGATCCATGTGGCGAAGTTCAATACTGCAAGTATCATGTCGCGTATGATTTACGTTAACACGTATACGCTTTATGGAATCAGTCTTGTAATATTGAAACATACGGTATTGTATGAAAATTAATGTATCTTCTTGTAGGTACCCTTTGTTATGCACTTCAAAATAAATTATTTCATATCACAGTACGCTCGTTGATTTTATTTTGCATCCAATTGGTTCTACATTCTATTAATCATACACTATGGGTGAGATGAAAAAACTGCAACCAACTTCAGACTGCTGTCATTTCTAAGCCACTCGTCCGACAGCTGTTAAAATTATTCCAGTGACTGCTCATTATATTGTTTACACGCGTACAAAAACATTGTGGTGAGAATTTTCCAGAAAAAATGTTATTCGCGATGGAATTCAAGCCTGATAGTGTGATTTCTCGATATTTGGCGGGAAACCCGCAAGTGGTTATCGTTAGAGCACTCCAGCATTCAAATGTGAATAAATCTTTTGTGTCTCGTATCATCGCTCATTACCGTGATACTGGTAGCGTAGCCCAACGTCAAGAAAGTGGACGGAAGAAAACAGAAACATCAGCAGAAATAGTTTGAAATGTAAAGAAGCGACTTTATCGAAAGCCGCGTCGCAGTGGCCGAAAAATGGCTCGTGAGCTGAACATATCGCAATATTCCATTCGAAAAATATTGAAAAATGAGCTCGGGGTAAAGCCATTGAAATTTCAAAAAATGCAAGAACTTACACCGCAACAGAAGGAAAATAGACTCAAAAGAGCTAAAGAGTTGTTTCGCTTGGCCGAAAGTGGTGAACTGCCGAAGTTGGTTTTCTCCGCTCCGATGAGAAAACATTCGTTGTCCAGCAGTTTGTAAAAAAACAAACTGACCGTGTTTACTTGCCATAGAGGTCAGCTGAAAATGTGCACCTTCGGTTGGCCACCAGAACTCAAGCGCCGGCCATTTTGATGGTGTGGACCGCCATAACAGCCGATGGTCGCTCTCCGATTGTATTAATAGACCGTGGCATCAGAATAAATGCCGAATATTATCGCGAAAATATTCTGGAGGTATAAAGCCTTGGGCACGCAAACATTTTGGCCGCAGACCTTGAACATTCCAACACTCTCTTGGACATTCCAGCGTCTGCACGCGCCACCCAAGAATGGTTACAAAATGAGGTTCCCCGTCTCATTTCAAGCGCACAATCGCCACCAACACGTTGGACTATTGTCCGCAGGGCAACATTCGGGCAGCGTGTAACGATTTCATTGGGCGTTTGAAGGCCATAATTCGTGCCAAATCTGATTCGTGATGGAATTGAAGAGGGTGTATTAAAGCCTTGGGCACGCAAACATTTTGGCCGCAAACCTTGGACATTCCAACAGGACTCAGCACCATCGCACTCAGTAAGCACCATCCAAGAATCATTACAAAATGAGATTCCTCGCTTCATTTCCAGCGCACAATGGTCACCAAAATCTTCGGATACCAATCCGTTGGACTATTGTGTCTGGAGAATTTTGGAAAGCAAGGCTGGCACCAAAGTGTCGATCACCTCAAGCAAGTGCTTCGCCGGGAGTGTGTCAAAATACCGCAGAGCAATATTCGGGCAGCGTGCGACGAACAAATTTAAACTTATTCTAAAATTGAATGCTTTTTCCGACATTTTTTGCTTTCTTTCAATGAAAATTAAAAAAAAATTAAAAACTATGGCTTTTGACTTTGTTGGAGTTTTTTTTTATCTCACCCTGTATATCAATACTCAAATATTTTTTTCTCCCGGTGTATTTTCCATGGGCCATTAATATTGCATTGTTTTTGTTCGACCATGTTCTAAATTAGTTTTTGGTCTTTTTCCTGCACTCTGCCATCGTCGCTGACTTTTTAAGGATTCAGGTCAATAAGAAAACAACAAAAAATTATATAAAATGTTTTCCTATGAGCATGCACAAAAGTTGTCGATTAGACGACAAATGTGATGGCGGTGACGTTACCAAATGCACAATAAAAAAGCAACAACAACAAAAAACAATCGCAAACCTACATGAATATCCACTCTAACAATTGACCTAGTTAATATTAAGGTTTTTTTGTTTCATTCTTTTGTTTTTGTATTTTTCTTGGAGAACAATGCCGGCAAACATGTTCGGCTATTCGTCGACAAAATATTCAGAGAACAAGTGAATATTTTATGCAATTCTCCACTTGATATCATGCAAGTCATCACATTTTCCCTTTTTTTTTTTTTTGTGAAAAAGAAAAAGTAAAAAGTAGCGAAACCAAAAAACGAGGGCAAACAATTATTTTGCAACATCCTGAAAGAGAAACTTATGGAAAGGATGCACAAAGAAGAAAGTATGCGAAGCACAACCTAATTGCAGGATGTGTGAAAACTTGCTTTTAGGCCATAATTTTGAAAAGTTTTCCGGATAACATATCGTTGTGCAACAACTTTTAGCCAAATTACACTTTGCGAAATGGCCAATGTTTGTGCAGAATATAAGCAAATATTTGGCATGACTGCAGGCAGACCGAGTGTTTTTGTTTCTCAGTAAAGTTGACAAAT